TGTACGGACACAGGAGTGAACAGAAGAGAAAGCCTGCACTCAGGGATGTGTGGAGAGAGAGTGGAGGGTTAGAGTGTCTAGGATCCAATAAACAGAAAAGGTCACTGCAGAGGGGGAGGCTACAAAGCAAGGGCAACAGGACTGGGGTAGGCAGGGACAGGAGGCAGGGACACTGCTAGAACAAGGGCCCAGGAGACCCTGACATTGGAGGTCAGAGCTGCAGAAGCCCACATGGAAAAGGCAGAAAGCCAGATTCAAGCAAGAGGCACAACAGCTGCGAAAACCCCCAGCATCTGGCAGGGACTGGGGAAGGCGGGAAGAAGGGTGAAGGGACTGACGCTAGGCCATCAGGGAAGAGTGACCTGGGCTTGGAGTGACTGACAGGCTCTGGGCAAGGGGATCATCCACCCAGCTCCCTCTTCCAATCTCCTGCAGTCATAGTTAGTTTGCCCCAGAAAAGCACCCCCTTTGTCTTATGGTCACAGCCTTTGGACAGGGCGTCTCAGTGCCATCAGAAGAAAGCCCCGGATGTGACTTCAGGAGACACGAACTGTAGGGACACAGCACTGTCAGCTACCCTGAAAGCCAGTGCCCAATACGAAATGGAAATGCAGGGGCCTTTGTTCAAAATGCAAGTCAGGCATGGTGGTACAAGCCTATAAACCCGGTACGTCAAGAGGCTAAGGCAGAATTCCAAGTTTGAGCTCAGCCTGGGCAATCTAGTGATTTAGTGCGACCCTATCACAACATTTAAACAAGTCTAAATGGCTATAGCTCAGCGAAAAGGCCTAGAGTTCAATCCTTTGTACTGTAGCAAAAGGAGGATGAGGACCAGTGATTTAGCTCAGTGGTTCTGCTGCCTGCCTCGCAGGCACAAGGTCCGGAGTTCAATCCCCGGTACCAAAAATAAATAAATAAATAAATAGAAAAAGGAGGAGGGGGAGGAAGAAGTAGAGGAGGAGGAAGAAAAGGAGAAGAAGGAGGAAAAAAAGGATAAACTTCTTGCTTTCTTCCAGAGTCTCTCCCTCAACCAGTCAAGGTGCTTTTGTTTGTTGTTCAATGCTGCTCTCACTCAGACATGAGAGCATCTGCAGGATGAATGCAGCTCCTTCCACAGCCCCTGGGGCCCCACTCTGCAGCTCAGTATGCAAAGATAGGTCCTATCCCTGAGGTTCCCAGCGTCTGAGCTCAGGACCCCAGGGGGTGCAGTGTCTGGGGAGTGGGTGGTGACGGTAGTCACTGGGCAGGGGTAGGAAAAAGGTGGCCTTCAATGCAATCTCCACTTGTCCTCTGGACTTCACTTACTAAACACACGTTCAGAGATGAAAACTATTAAGAATTTCAAGGCAGTGATCTCAAAGCCTTAAACCCCTAGTGGATCCCCAGTCCTGGTCTGAGCAAAGCTGAGTGTTGTCTGCTAAGAAGGGAGGGAACTTTGGGTTTGTCCTCCAGGAAACAGAATGCCCTGCAGTACGATTTACTTTGAAAGGGTGGTCATTGATTTAGTGTTTCTGCACTGGTTGACTGCCCCGGCCCCGAAGATCCCTTCCTGGAGGGAAGGCTTCAGTTTCCCAGTGCCTGGGTACCAACTAAGAAAAGCTCAGGACCTGATGGATTCACAGCTGAATTTTACAAGAACTTCAGGGAAGATCTAACACCAATACTTCTCAAACTTTTTAATGAAATTGAGAGGGAAAGAGTACTTCCAAAATCATTCCTGGAAGCTAACATTATGCTGATCCCCAAACCAGACAAGGATCCAACCAAAAAAGAGAACTGTAGGTCAATTTCTATAACAAACATGGATGCAAAAGTCCTTAACAAGATACTGGCAAACAGAACGTGACAAATCATCAAATCGTCAAAAAGATCATACATCAAGCCCAAGTAGGCTTGCATCCCAGGGATGCAAGGAGGTTTCAACACAGGTAAATCAGTAAATGTAATTCATCACATAAACAGAAGCAAGGGCAAAAATCACGTGATCATTTCAATAGATGCAAAAAGAAAGCCTTTGACAAAATACAATGTCTGGGTCCCACTCCCAGAGGTGAGTTCATGGGCATCATGGTTTTAAAAATGTGTAGCCAGAGTTGAGCACCACTGACACAGGTCAGCTTTTACTGAGTTTTGGAGAAGCCACTAGGAATTAAGTGGGGGAGGCACCTAATGTAGAAATACAGCATGCGGTCAGTTCTCCCCAGTTTGGGGGTGGAGAGTGGCCACACAAATGCTAGGAGTCCAGTTATAGCAGGCAAAGGAGCAGCTAAGAAGTGCCTGGGAGGCCCTGAGCCCCTAAGCTGGCTTGCCTGAGGATCATAGGGTTTGCTGGTGCATTTGATGGGATCTAGAGAAGGGAGGTAGGGAATTGGCATGGTGTCTGAGGTCCTGGAGGAGCGATGGAAGGAGACTGGTATCTTCATAGAAAAGAGGAAATTTGGGGGCTGGGGATTTAGCTCAGTGGTGCTGCCACCTGCCTCGCAAGTACAAGGTCCTGAGTTCGATTGCCCAGCACCCAAAAACAAAAGAGGAAGTTTAGGGGTGAAGACAGTCTGGGGATGGGAGGTTAAGTCTCCCAGGTACTTTAGCTTGTTTTCCCATAGGATCAGCTTTCCATTTGAAGGATATAATGTGAGACCAAATGCTTTGGCTTCTTTGGTTCTTAAAACTCAAACTGGAAAGCCAGGCATGATCTTGCATGCTTGTAATCCTAGCATTCAGGAGGCTGAGGCAGAGGATCACCATGAATTTGAGATTGCCGTGTGCTGCAGAGTGAGTTCAAAGCCTATCTGAACTACACAGCTGTTGCGCGCACCTCGCCAGCAAGGAACACGCAACACTCAGGATTCTTCTGATGCACGCTTTATTGGAGTTTCTTCTACATTCTTCAAAATGGCGGAAAGACCCCGAGCCGGATGCGAGCCTGCCTTTTATAGCCACCCGGGTGACGTGGCCCATTTCTATTGGTCAATGCCGGCCTGCATCATTCTGACGAACCAAGCGCCTCATCTGCGCAGGCGTGAACCACCGTCACCGGTGGACTCACATCCGGAATTCATGCAGGGCATGAAGAACCCGGAAATAATGGCGCGTGACACACAGCAAGACTTTGTTTCAAAGCAAACAAACCAAGCAAGCAAGTAGACAAGAATAAAAAACAAAAACAAACCGGAATCTTTTTTGGAAAATAAGGGAGCTTATAATCAGGGAGGTGCTGTGGAAGGAGCACCCACTGAGTCAGTTGCCTAAGTTTGTCTCATGGGTACAAGGGCAGGTGGCCTGGAGCAGTGTGGAAATAGGAAGGCACAACATTTGGTGACAGAAGTGACCCAGATGGAAAGGGTGGAAAACCCCAGATTTTGATGAATTTCTGTTCAAATTGGAGCTGCCACATCAAAGTGGCTTCTCACTAAGCAGCAAGAATCTTATGATACTTGTAAAGACTAAAGTACGGCATGGCTGTCCCTGCTCTCCTTTCCCAGGGATGAGAGCTTCAGTCCAGGCTCAGTATAGAACTAGGCACCCTGTCAGGCCATCGTCTTGGGTGGCTAATTGTTCTTCTCCCTGGAGAATGAGAGAAGAGCCACAGAGTCCTGACCCTCAGGAGACAATGGCATCTCAGGAGCTGAGTGTCAGGCCCCCCAGGGGGTGACATGAGCAGGTGTGGGAGTCAGACACCTGTGCTGGGGCAACATTGACTCTCCAGGCACTAAAGTCTGCATCTGTGAGATTGCTCACAAAGCCCTCAAAGAGGGACTCGAATTTTACTTCTAACATTGCTGTTGAAGATGAATGGACTTTTAAAAAATGATGTATATAAATGAAAGAGTTTTATCCAGCCATGGAAAAATGAAATCATATCATTTGCTTGGAAATGGATGGAACTAGAGGTTATCATGTGTGTTGCATGTTTCTTCACATATGTAGAAACTTAAATATATATTAAAAAGATGATTGGAAAATGGAAGATAGGAGACCACAGGTGGGGAGCAAGAGAGGGTAGTAGGGAGGGTGGATACTATTCAAAGCATGTATGGAAATGTCACATTGGAATCAATTAATTTATATAATTAATATGATCAAATCTTTATATAAAAAAATGAAACCCAGACGTAGTGACACACGCCTATAATCCCAGCACTCTGGGAGGCTGAGACAGGAGGTTCACAAATTCAAGCCCAGCCCGGGCAACTTAGCAACTTAGTGAGACACTGGCTTAAAATAAAAAGGGCTGGAGATATGCAAAGGCCCTGGGTTCAATTCCCAGGATCACAAATAAAAAATAAATAAATGAAAATAAGGAGTGACATCCTTCGGCAAAATAAATACACAAGAATAAGTGTGAGAATGAGCTGCAGGGATCTTTCCAGCAGAGTCAGACTGTTTCTAGGTAGTCAGTGACGAAAAGTGGCAGGGACCCAGGACCCAGGACCCAGGACTCAGTTGTTTGTGCCCAATGCAGACGTCTCTAGTGGCACCTTTTCTTCTGAAGCCTCCCCAGGAGGTTGGCTGCAACTTTGTCAGATCTCCATCACAGCCTGCTCTTTAGGGTGACAGTGGGTGTGTTTCCGAGCCAAGGATCAGGAGACCCACACTCGGCCTAGCTCCTGCCACCAGCTTTCTGTGTCACCTTAGGAAGACATGTTAACTTGGCCTCAGCATATTTACCCAGAAAATGGGTATCATGCTTCTCCAGGTGCTCAGAGCTGTGATGAGGGCCTTGAAGGCTGGAGTCAATCAGCTGCTGGGCTAGGGCTGAACTCCTGGGTAGCTGGGCCTCGTAGTCACATGTCACACATTTCCATTGGTCCACAGGGGTGAGAAGGAAAAGAATAGGGAGCTTTCTGTACCTTTCTGGCTCTAGGATCAGGAGAGTTGGTAACTGCACCATTTATCAAGATGGGAATCGTACGTTAGAAAGGGCAACTGGGCTCAGTGCTCCAGAGAAGAGGTTGTGGTGTCTGCAGGTTCAAGGCAATTCAAGGGCAACTCCAGTCAAGATGATCGAGGTTGTTTGCAACAACTGCCTGAGGAAGAAAGTCTGCGTGAGGTGCAACACCGATGAGACCACTGGGGACCTTAAGAAACTTCTTGTGACCCATACCGGCACCCGCGGGAACAAGGTTGTTCTTAAGAAGCAGTGCACAATTTTTAAGGACCGTGTGTTTCTGGTGGACTATGAAATCCACAGTGGGATGAACCTGGAGCTTTATTACCAGTAGAGCAGAACACCTCCCCCTTTTCCTGTCCTCCTCTCCCACCCTCCCCTCTCCCACTGGTATGGATGCTTGTTTGTGAGAACTCACATTAATAAAAACCTAGATGCTGCAAAAAAAAAGAGGTGGGGTGGTGACAAAAGCAGGAGTCCAGGCCTGTAGGGACTGTAGCCATGTAAATTTCTACTCAGAACACTTCCTTGACTTCTTCTGGTACAGTCTATTCCTGTCGGGCAGAAGCAACTGCATGCCCTTGAGATAGTAACCACAGCCTAGTTTCAAGGACTGGACTTGATCCAGACCCTGCCAATGAAAACACCTTATCCCCCTCGCCACCATGACAGGCACATGAACCAAGCCAGCTGAGCGGTCTTCGGGGACTTGGGAAGATGAAATGCTCTCTCTTCTCTGAATCACAAATTCATGTGTGATGGTAACTCTGGAAATGCATGTGCCTGTTCTGGCTTTCACAGGACGTCAATCTGCCTGAGAATAAAGCCACTAACACAAAAACAGAGCCAAAGCGGGATGGTGGAGTCTTGATGATGTGCCATCTGGACCCCTGGATCCAGCTGTACCTGAGCAAGACCCCCTTCGGACTTCTCCTTTGTGTAAGTCAATACTTTCCTCTTCTTTCACTCAACAATAACATTTGAGCATGTGGTAAATTCCCAGTGCTTTATAGGACACAGAAAGCAACACAAGTGAAACAGACATGGTTGAGCTCTCAGGAGTTTGCAGGTTGATCAAGAGAGCATTTACCCCAGCCGTAAATCTAACAGAACTTTGTCAATTGGATCTTTGCAAGGGATGAGAAGAACACAGCAGATGGTGCGCAATTCTATGAGAAGTGCAGAGATTACACGTGCACATTTTTGTCTATTGATCCTCGGCAGAAACCGAGAGTACAGTGTTAAGATGTGGTTTGGTAAAAACAGCTCTGTGTGAAAGCAGAGAAATGTAGCGCTAGTGTGTGTGCCTTCCTGGCAATCCGAGTTGAGACAGCGGAAAAGGAGCTTGGAGAATCTCAGAATGGTTGGCTTGTCCTCTGAGCAGCCTCTCCTGAATGACAATGATCCTAGCTGCGCTCCCCACAGAAGCAATTTGGGAGCTGATTTTAAGTGTGTAGCTTTTTAATAAAAAAAGATAACATAAGCACATTAAAACATATTCAGAAAACAGAGAAAAATATCCTCTAAATCCCACGGCCCTAATGCAACCACTGTTACGAACATTATTTTGGGAATGCTATGACAGTCTTTGCCATGGTTGATGAGCTCGTGATATGTTCATTGTTTAGTTTTTGGCTCATGGAAGACCCGACCTCAGCAGTGAGGATAAGGCGGTAAACAGTACCTCTGACGACAGATTCACCGAAGTGGAATCCTGCCGTATCACTTAATAACTGTGTGACCTTGAGCAAGTTCCCCAGCCTCTCTGAACCTCAGCACTTCATCTATAAAATGAAGATAAAAATGATAGGTTTTGCCAATGTGCTGCAGGATTGGAATAAGATGGAACTGAGCAAGGATTAGTCCCTTCCTCATGCTGCTGCCTTAGCCACAGTCTAGGCACAGCCACAGACTCCTGACCTGGCTGGCCACAGATATCCACCAGTGATGCTAGACATGAGCATCGCTTCCACACAGGACAGGCCATGTGGCTCGGTGTGGGGCGGGACATGCATCACTCTCTCTGCACACCTTAGGACAGGTCTGGGACCAATACAAGTGAGTTGGGAAGTAGCCTCCAGCTTCCTCCTCTGCTCTTCATGTTACACACCAGCCCTGCATTTGCAGGTGCCCGGTTAATATACGTCACCCTTCATCGTCTTCAGGGAATTCAACTGAGGCTTGAAGAAACAATGTGCACATATCCGCATGGAGATATGGCCACCTGGGAAGTTCAGAGCTTCTCAAAGCTCACTGCATGGCGTGCTCAGGCACATCCGTCCCCAGGCACAAAGAGCCACTACCCAGGTCTGGGGATTTAGCTCAGTGGCGCCACAGAGTTCAATCCCTGGTACTGGAAAAACAACAACAACAATGACCAAAACAAACAACCAAACAACAAATAATGCGCCACTGCTCTATGGCTTGTTCAATCAACACCCGTGGAACCTAAACTGTGTGTGGATTGCGAGGTTCTCTGAGATGCAGATCCTCCTGGCTATGAGATCCTGTAGCTCAGGCTCAGAGTCCTACAGCCAGGGCTGCAAGAAGGGTGTAGGGGAGTCATCTCTGCACAGACTGGGGGGCCTGCTCACCAGAGATCCCACAGTGAGATGTAGGTGTGGAGCCAGTCCTTGAACCTGGGTCTCCTGACTTCAAGCTGACTGTTGGTTTTTGGCAAGGGCTTGGCAGAGGCCAGGAGAGTAGGAATGCCAGGATGCAAGGTTCTCAGTTCTGTACGCTCCAAGCCCCTCAGCACTCCTGAGATCTTTCTTGACTGCCCTTTCCCCCACAGATCTGAGCCCTGAGGTAGTGGTTTCAATGGTTTTGGTGGTCCCCAAAAGCTGTGTCTATCCAAGGCCTCAGAACACATGCAACTTTATTTTAAATAGAGTCTTTGCAGATGTAATTAAGGCAAAGATCTCAAGATGAAGACTATCTTGAATTAAGATGAAGCCAAATCTCATGACAAATGTCCTTTAAAAAGAGAAGACCTGGGGGAGAAAATCATGTGAAGATGGGGGCAGGATGGGAGTTATGCTACCACAAACCAAGGAATGCTAAGAATTGCCAATGGCCCCTAAAGCTAGGAGAGAGAGGGGAAAAAGATTCTGCCTTGGTACCTCTTCTCTACCAGCACCCAGCTGACACTTTAATTTGGATTCTAGCCTCCAAGAGAGAATATATTTCTGTTGTTTAAGGCACTTGGCATGTAATTTGTTACAGCAGCCCCAGGAAATCAGTAAAACCAGGTGCTCGGTGAGGGACAGGGATCTGGGCCAGTTATGGACCCCTCTCTCCTGCTTGGCCTTGGCCAAGAGCAGCAACCACAGAGCCTCAGAGCCCACTCCCAACGGTGGGAAAGAGAGGGATCACTTCCTGTCTGCCTTTCACTCAAGAATTCAATCAACACCAGAGAATGTCAAAGAGACCTGTGTTAGCTTTCCATCACTGTGATGAAAGACCTGAGAAATTTAACTTTTAAGAAGGAAAGGTTTATTTTGGCTTATGGTTTCAGATATTTCAGTCCACAGTCTCTTGCCTTGTTACTTTGGATCTGACATGAGGCAGCCCATCATGGTGGGAACTCATGGCAGAGGAAAGCTGCTAATCTCCAACCTGCCATGAAGCAGAGGGAGACAAGAGAGGAAGGGGCTCGGGATCTCCTTCAAGGGTACATCCTCAGTAGCACACTTCCTTCCAACTATGTCTGCCTCCTGCAGTTTCCACTACCTCCTATTATGACATCAACCGGGGACCAAGCCTTTAACACATGAGATTCTCGGGGACATTTAACCACAGCCAGGTGTAGTGGCACAAACCTGAATGAGAGGATTGCAAGTTTGAACCCAGTTAACTTAGCGACTTTAGCAAGACCCTGTCTCAAAAATAAAAAAATTTAAAAGTACTGGGGATGTAGCTCAATACAAGGGCTCTGGGGTTGGTCCCCAGCACCACACAAGTACACAGGCATGTGTGTACATGCACGTGCACACACACACACACACACACACACACACACACACACACACGACCCAAACCATAACAAGATCCAAAGCCAGTTGCTGGTTAAAGCCGATAAAGACAGATTTGATCCAGTCACTACCACAATAAGAGAAAGAGTCTTCAGTGTAGACCTAAGCTCAACTCTGATCCACACAGAGGGAGGTGACAGAGTGGTTTACAAAGAGGATGGGGTAACTGGTAGGGGCTTGAGCAGAGCCAGGGAAGTGTAACATTTAAAAAGTAGTTGGGGAAAGTGATCAGGATTAGGCCATCTGGGTTTGCTAACTGACACATCCAAATTAAGCCCCTACGACCCCAGAGACTTGGGAACAGGACACTGTCTTCAGCTGTCGGCTGCCATTATAGTAAATTTCAAGGACAGCTTGAGCTTTCCCAGGCAGGAAATGAAAGGGTGGAGAGGGCTGGGTCATCCCTAGGGCGTAGACTTCGGATGATTGAAAATGTGCTAGAATTTGTTCAGGTGTCTTAGCATGCAGGGGAGGGAGATGATGAACTGTTTGTGCTGAGAGTCTGTAGCCTTGATAGGCCCTGAGGAGGCTGGGTTTGGTCCAGGAATGCCTGTCCCGTCCTGCGTAAGGACATCAAGGGGTCTCAGAAGACAGTGATGGGGTGGGGGTACAAAGCAGCTGGCAGTGGTTTGAAGATGATTTGTCCTCCAAAGTCGTGTACCCGGCCATATTGTTTAGAAGTGGGGAATTTGAGGAATGATTAGGTTAGACTGGGTCATTAAGGTGAAGCCCCCATGATTGACCCCTGGTGCTTTATGAGGAGAGGACGACAGACAACACAGACACAGAGAGACATACATATTCCTGCCATGATATGATGCAGCTGAGGGTGAGGGGGTCCTCACCAGAGCCTACAGCACACTGTTTGGGCTTCTATGCATCTAAACTGTGAGCTAAATAAACCTCTTTTCTTTATAGAAGAGCCTGCCTCCTGTATCTTGTTACGGTAATGAAAAGATGACTAATATAGAGGGGTAGCCAAGCAGTCAGGAGGTAGAGGTGGACAGGCAAGCACAAGAGGCCCCTGACAGACAGAAAGTGGCAGGAAGGACAAGTGTCAGAGGCAGGGGGAATAGTGCCCTTGATGTGTGGAAGCTGAAGAGCCTAGAGTGCTAGGAATATAGAACAGTAAGAGATAGGCTGGAGACCAGTGAATCGGTGACGATGTTTAGGACCTGAGCCCAGGGGTCCAGCCAAGTCAGAGCTTAGAGTAGGATCCAGGCACTATATTGTTAGAGGCTCTCTGGGTGATGCTAAGCTGCAGCCCCATTTGGGTGTTGTTGCACCTTTGTCAGCAGCT